ATAGCAGAAATACTGTTACAGGGCAGCAGGGGTGTGCAAAATCACGTATCTATACATGATTTTGCATCTCCAGGTGGGGGGGTGCACGGAACACGCGTGTGCTCGGCCCGTGCTGCCACTGGCTGCCTCACCTGTCGATCACCGGGTGTGGGTCGGTAATCCCCGCTGGCATCCAGCAATCGCCGTATATAACTGATGAGGGAGAGACCTGTATGTAAACAATACAGATCTCTCCCCTGTCAGCTCCTGCGCACAAACAGCACACAGAGAAACAGCACACAGTTAGCCCTTTAAATCGCCGCAGATTTTATCCCCTTCCTGCTCAGTGCCATTAGTACAGTGTCAGTGCTTTTTATTAGCACTGATCACTGTATTGGTGTCACTAGGGATGTCAGTGACAGTTAGTTCCCCCCAAGTGTCAGAATTCCTGCCGCAGTTCCAATATAAGTCGCTGATCGCCGCCATTACTACTATAAAAAAAAAATCCAGTATCTATACTGCCATTTGTAGACACTATAATTTTCACGTAAACCAATCAATTTACACATATTAGGATTTTTTTTTAGAAAAGACATGTAGCTGAATAAATTTGGCCTAAATTTATGACAAAATTTGATTTTTTTTACTGGACATGTTTAATAGCAAAAAGTCAAAAATACTGTTTTTTTTTTCTCAAAATTGGCGATTTTTTTTATAGCGCAAAAAAAACACAGAGGCGATAAAATACCACCAAAAGAAAGCTCTATTTGTGGGGAAAAAATGACATAAATTTAATTTGGGTGCAGTGTTGCATGACCATGCAATTGTCAGTTAAAGTAATGCAGAGCCGTATTGCACAAAATGGCCTGGTCAGGAAGGGAGGTAAATCCTTTGGAGGGCAATTAGTTAAGGATCATTTTTTTTTTCATCTAAGGGCAAAAGTTTTTCTTTTTTATTTTGGATAGGAAAGGTGGAGTGTTAAAACCACAGTGTCTCATTGCAGTGATTTACTTTCACTTCTTGTCCAACAGACTCAACAGAAAGTAAGAATAATTGTGTGTGAGGAATCTCTCTCAGACCACTGTCACAGGAACAAGTGTCTCTAATGGAGGATTTCCCCTCTATTTCTGCTATGGTGGAAATTTCAATTTATTCCATTTACCCTCACTTGTCTAGTGACACTACTCATGCAGGGGCATTTTTCCTTGACCAGTCACAACCAGTGACACTGCCGACACCAGGGGCATTTTTTCGATTCAGTGACACCACTGATGTAGGAACATTTTTTCCTTGCACTAATGCATTTGTTTCTTCATCATTGTCAGTCTTGTATTTTATTGTGGGACAGAATTTACACTATTAAATTAATAAATTACATATGCTGTGGCTCAATGTGAAGTGCTATTAACCCCGTGTCCACCTGGGAAATGTGCATAGTTTGGCATCTTTGCCCTGGGCACTGGAAGACCTTGTCCCAGCGCCACCTAGGTATTAGCGTGCACACACAACTGTACCATTGTATACTGTAGGTCTACTTGAAAAGGTTTTTCGAGCATACACAACCATTGTAGGTCTGCTGGATAAAAAAACCACTTAGGTGGTCCTATTTCTTCTAATCAATGATTGAAAGCTATTTTTTGAACACCTTAACAAATTATCACCCACATATGTGTATTTATAAACATTAATGTTATAGTGACCCATTAAAAAAGGGATAGGGGAGCATGTCTTTAAAAACTGAGCATACTACTCTGCACAGCAGAATGATAAAAAATTATTTGATCAGCTCTACACATATAAATATGTGGTAATACACATAAGTGAGATAATATCATGTAAAACAATGAGAAAATACTGATAATACACCTACTTACAGTCATAAAAAAGGTTTGTGAACCACCATGAAACCTCTGGATTTCTGCATATATAGTCCTCTAAATGTAACCTTATTTTGATGTAGGTAATAATGTTAATAATAATAATAAAAAAAGAATATGGTTTCATGTATGCAGGTACTTAGCAGCTCCTGTGTGCTGGTGCAAAAAAAAAAAACATTTCTGCATCAGCGTTTACAATGCTTCTCCCACTTACGCTTTTGCCGATAAACACTGATGCAGAAGCCATTAGTGTTTACCTAAGCACAGCTGAGTATGGTGATTCACTTGTATTGGGGGCTGTATGCAAGGGGTGCGGATTTTATGCTTCTGTACACCCCAGACCAAGAGCTGCTAAGTGTCTGTTTGCACGAGGCCTTCTGTTTCTATTGTATCTATTAAGCTCCTTAATTATTGCATTTTGAATCACAGTTTTATTGCATGATCCCACTTTTAATATATCCCACTTTGAGTACGGTATATCTTTATATAAGTTTTACTGTTGGTGTGTGGTTTTTCCAAATACAGCACTGTTCACATTTACCAAAAAGTTAATTTCGCCCTATCTATCCACAGAACATTTTTTCAATAGTATCATGAAACATCCAGGTGGCAAACTTTAAATGAGCAGCAAAGTTTGTTGAACGATCCGGCATTCTCACTGACAATTCTGCTGCCGTTCATTGCTTTTGGTGGACTCATGAACACAGCATATTTGCCAGTGCAAGTCATTCCACAAATCTTTAGCTATTATTATAGGGTGTTTTATCACCTGTCGAATTGTAGTCCATGAATTGATCTTTGTAGGTCATTAACTACTGGAAAAAGGAGCAACACTACATACTGTAACTTACATAATTTCTTCTATTTTTATTACTTCTGCCTGGCTATGAACTAAGGGCTCTTTCACATGGGGGTGGGTACATTATAAACAGTTGGCTGAGCAGTAGTTTTACTGTCCCCAACCACCCACCTAAATTCTAACATTACAGCTGGATAGGGAACATGCCATAGCCATGATTCTTTGCTTCGCCACCACGACATCTTTAACTCGACCAGCAGAGGTCAATGGGAATGCGCCACAATTACTAGCCAAATGCTTGATTCACAGCTGCATTGCAGTATTTTAATACAATATCTCCCTTGGGAATAAAAACAAAAACATTCAGGAGGTGGATTGATTTTTAGGGAGCGGTAAGCACTGCCGCTCCTATGAAACAGCCTTAAGAATTTTTTAGTTCAACACTTTCCTATCTTATCAGATTTGACATGATGCTCTCTGAAATCATTTATGCCTGGAAAATGTACAATGTCCATAAAATTCTGTTAGGGAAAGCAGGTTACCAAAAAGTATGCTTTTAAATTATGACAGGTCAGACCAAACTGCAGTATCCTAGAAGGTTACATTTATCTACATTAATTACTTTGGTTGTTTAAACCATTTGTTTGTATAACATGGGCCTTGCTTGTGTTTGGCACTCACATGCCACAGATACATTAATTCGTGCCTTGGGTCCCAAGGCAGTGACCTCCCAATTTTTTTCAGTCAGTCAGCTGCCTGCTTCCATCCCCACATAGGGTCTTTTAGACCTCAAATTAGAGCAGCAATGTGCAATACAGAGCCAAGGAAAGCTCCTTTTTAGCTGTGAAGTATCAAACGACTAAGCCAAGGGGAAACATGGGAGAATCCCCTCACTTTGCTGGGTGCAGCTGCATCTCAGGTTTGTGAGTACATTTCAGGAAAGGAGAGAGGGAAGAATTCAGTCTGGGGGCAATTTAAATTTGGTGGTTAATTTTAAGCTTAGTGGAGGTAAGAAATTGTATTGGGGGGATTATGCTCAGGGAGGATGTTGGCTTGCAGAGGAAATTTCTGCTGGAAATGGGAAAGGGGAGGGGGTATTGATGGAGTGTAGCTATGTGTGTTATATACTCCATACTCCTAAACCCTGTGTGTGTTATGTTCTCAAGAAACATTAAACTGAACATGCATTATGAACTTCTGACCCCTGAACTCTGTTATGTACTGCTGACTTCTGTGCATGACCCCTGTATCCTGTGACTTCTATTATCCTGACCCAGCACTTTGTGCCTTACTCCTAGCCCCTATACATTGTGCTTTACACACTTCAGACACTTTACAGTCTGTGCATTATATACACCTGACCCTTGCACTCTATAGGTTTTATAATCCAAATCCCTGCATCCTGTGCTTTACACACTCCAGAACCCTGCTGTCTTTATGTTTCATACTCCTGGCCAGTGCACTTTTTGTATTACAGACGTCTTCACTCTGTACATACTTCTCACTCCTGCTCAATTTCTTGACCCCAGTACTCTCTGCTGTACATACTCCAGACCCTGTGTGCTACACACTTTAATTCCTATACCATGCCATAGTTCTGCCTTCCACTGTTGCAATTAGCCACACACACTTATCCCCATTGTGTACTACATGTACCACATCATTGTTCTCCTCCGGGTGCCCTAGGTCTTACACAATTCTAGCAATGAACCTGCTGTATCATAATAGTAATTTAAAATTTTTGCTTATGGCATCTTACAGATAAGACGTTGACACCCATAGCTTGTGAATGAGCACCTTGTTATTGTGAGATGCTGAATGCTGGAAGCCCATTCATTTCTACTGGGACACAGCAGCTGCATGGACACAGCTGCTGGTCCTCATTTGACAGCCGTGCAGGTGAGCGGTGACGAGCAGCACATGGCAGCTGAATTCACATAAACTAACTGCTCATTTACAAGCTACAGGTGTCAGCAAAGATCAGAATATAACTCAGAGACCATTAACCACTTGCCTACTGGGCACTTATACCCCCTTCTTTACCAGGTCAATTTTCAGCTTTCAGCGCTGTTGCACTTTGAATGATAATTGCGCGGTCATGCAAGATTGTACCCATATGACATTTTTATAAATTTTTTTCTCACAAATAGAGCTTTCCTTTGGTGGCATTTAATCGTCGCTGGGTACTTTACTTTTTGCGCTATAAACAAAAAAAATAGCAAAAAAATTTTGGAAAAAAAAAAAAAGTTTCTTTGTTTCTATTATAACATGTTTCAAACAGGTAATTTTTCTCCTTCACTGATGTGCGTTGATGAGGCAGCACTGATGGGCACTAATAGGCGGCCCTGATGGGCACTGATAGGCAGCACTGATGGGAATTGATAGGCAGCACTGATAGGCAGCACTAATGAGGTGGCACGGATAGGCAGCACTAATGAGGTGGCACTGATAGGTGGCACTGATAGACAGCACTGATAGGTGGCACTCACTGGCATCACTGCAGGGCACTGACTGCCGGCACTGCTAGGCATTGACTGGCACAACTGCTGGGCACTGACTGGCAGCACTGCTGGGCTGCACTGATGGGCACTGGTGGGCACATGTGGGTGGGCACAGGTGGGTGGCACTGCTGGGCACAGGTAGGTGGCACTTATGCGCACAGGTGTGTGGCACATGTGGGCGCACTGCTGGGCACAGGTGGGCGCACTGCTGGGCACAGGTGGGCGCACTGCTGGGCACAGGTGGGCGCACTGCTAGGCACAGGTGGGCGGAACTGGTGGGTGGCACTGCTGGGCACCGATCATCAGTGCCCTGATGATCGGTGCCGATCCCTGCTCTGATAACTGCCAGTTCTCGGCAGCACTTTCCTCACGCAAAAGTGCAGCCGAGAACCGGCAATTGCATTTCCCGGTGATCAGCGTGTCATTGGACACAGCTGATCACGTGGTAAAAGGCCGCTGTGATTGGCCTTTTACCACATCACGTGATCAGCTGTGTCCGTAGGAGAGCGCGTTCTGGGAGGACGTCATATGACACCCTCCCAGAACTGGCGGGCCGCAGTGTAGCCATCATTCGGCTATCTGCGGTCGGCAGGTGGTTAATGTAGATATTCAGATAATTACTAAGAATTTGCAAAGTTTTTCTCATAGCTTGTACATACAGTGAAAATTGAAAGTCAGATACTGAGAAAGAAAAATTCCAGTAATAATTATTCTTACAGTGCTGACATGTTTATTCCAATAATAAAACCGTAAACAAATTAGCTTTTGAAGTAAAATAATATTCACATAAAATAAATACCTTACAAAGGCAATTTCATAAAGCCGCTGATTACATTACACCCCTTCCTCACACTGTATTGCTATGAGGTACAGTGAAAGCCAGGCAATTTTTTAATGCCAAAAATAAATGCAATACCATGCACGCTCTTATTTATAAGATGAATTTATAAGATGAACATGCACTCTTATTTATAACATGAATTTATAAGGTGAATATGCATTCTTTGCTTAACCACTTCAAAACCATGGTCCTTTTTCTCTATAGGGAACAGAGTTATTTTTTTTTGTATTTTCTGAGTTGTTTTTCTGTGAGATAAGTTTTCACCTTAGTAGTCTGTCCTAAAAATTATATATTTTTTTTTGGGGGGGAGGGGGGTAGGGGAAACTTCCAGCTTCATTTGAAAACAGATCTACTGTATATAATTCTTTTTAGTATAAGTATAGGTATAACTTAGTTGAGAAAAATCTGAAAAATACATTTTCCAGTAATTTTCTGCAAATTTAGTCAACATAATTGGAGTATAAGGATATATGGCAAAGAGTAATTTTTATGAAATATTGCAGGGCATCAACACACAAAGTCAAAGTTTTCCTTTCACTTTTATAAAGCATTTTCCTCTTATGTTGCATTACTTTGCGTCATGCACTCTAAACGGTCAACTTGGGTTTAAATAAACAGGAATTAATGCATCAGGAATATTTTTGCAAGTGAACAGTTGAATAAATTATTAATTTCATATAACAACTGAATTTCTGTTGCAGTAGGTGACCCCTGCTCTTCTGCAAGATCACTGCGGATTCCCAATGTGGAAGCACAGTGGTTACATTGTAATGCAGAAAACTTTGTGGAAATTGTGGAGCTAACTCATTCAGCCCCTTAGTGAGAGAGAAATAGATCCAAACAGCCAGTGGTCCTAGCAGACACATCCAATGGATTCACACTTTGCCACTTGAAACGTTTGTTATATTTAAAATGACGTGATTCACAGTAGCTTCTGCTACAAAATGCCAATATAAAATTGCAGGGTGAGTGGGCTAAATTACTCACTGTCTCCTTACATCACTGAGAGGATTCAGTTCTGCTATACTGTGTTCTGCTGACAAGGCCCTAGTAAAGGTTCTGAAATCCTCATTTAATTGTGTTTTCTACAATATTCTGAATTTAGTTGGGGAGTGTGATATAAATTGGCTGCATAAAAGCTGTGACAATTGGCTAGAACGGTACATTTCTGTGGGGATATCACCACTGGGATCCCCAAAAGATATAATAAGGCCAAATGTGATTCAAGTTGCCAGCAATACTACAGAATTAAAATAGATGGTGTTGGACTTTACGCTGTAAATGGAATAAAAAGTATTCAGTGGATTTTTTAATTGAAGTGTTTAAGAATTAAGAAAAATAGCCATTTTCTTTGGCATTATATCCGTTGTTTTAGTACTCAATAAATGGCTAATCTAATGGACATTACACAGTTTTTTACATTTTTATATAGCTTAATACACTGTCAGGCCAGAATCTGCAATACTTACTTGGCTTCTAGTGCAAGGGCTATAATCCCAGCAGCCATAGGTGCTGACGCTGAGGTTCCAGTGTGACTGTCTGTACAGCGCTGCCGTAGATCTGTGGTGATCTGAAACATAACATTAACTTTTTTATTTCTCTAAATTATTTGACATGAAGACAATGAATCCAGTTGTAGTAAGAATAATATGCTTGTGGTCTTTACCACAAACCTCTAAAGCAATTAATTTACAGGAAAAATAGTACAGGTTTTGTGAGTTTAAAATTTGATTCCCCATGCCTGCTTTTGCAAATCCTTTTTGTAGCAGCAAGCATTTCAGAGGGTTGTTAGCCTCGGGTACCAGCTATGCATTATAGTTTATATTTTTTATGTTTTCAGAAATGTAACACATTGTTAGCTGCAAGAAGACACGACCCCACTTTTCTTTCTTCCACTTTATCATAGACTAGTCTAAGAAAGCAGACTGATGTGAAGGTTAAATACATTTGTGAAATGGCGTGTATGAGTCTACCTAGTCCTGTATGTATGTTACCAAGGTAGCACAGCAAGGTTAACCCATATATACTAACAGGTACAACATTTATTCAGTGAAGCGCCAGATGCAATGCTGTAGAGATAATAGGGGGTAAAAATGCATCCTGGGACTACTCAATTATATGTTATTGCAATGCTTTCAGCTTTGGAATGCTGTACGCACTCAGTTCCCAGAGAAATACTCAGTACTGTCATCAACTCCCCTTTCTGAGGTGATCCATGGCTCTGACTCCAAAAAACATGTCAACCCTATACAATATCCTACTCACACCCTCTGCCACTAAAATAGCCTACCAAATTAAAACCTGCTTGAGGGGCCTGGACGATATGGAATGGGAGGAATACTGGATTACTGCAAGTTAGTCTCCCCAAGGGTGTCGGACCATCTAACACAGTTGTAAATTCTACAGAGGGCCTACCTGACCCTCATTCGAATTTCCAGATACCTTCCCACCTATAGCCCACTTTGCCTGCTCTGCTCTAACATATCTTGTAGTTATCACTTATTATGGGCATGCCCAGTAATTCAGGAATTTTGGCTTCAGAAGGTCTGATTTCTGCATGACCAAATGGGTTTCCTGTTGACCCTGAATTCTAAACAATGCTTACTTGGTCTTTTCCCTTTTCCTGAAGTTGATAAATATATGATGTTTCTGCATGAAACTATCTTTAGTGTAAGAAAAGTGACACCTTGCAATTGGATGCAGGCACTTCCCCCTACATGTCAGTCGTGGTTTGATATAAATTTTACTCTCCTCTACAAAAAGCTAATATCTACACACACAAAGGCTGTCCCTCTAAATATAATAAAATCTTGGTTCAATGGTTAGAATACTCAGCCATCTGTGTATAAATGTTTATACTCATCTGAAGGGAGCGTGCCAGGACTTTTCCGAGTTGTTTCCTTTCTGTTTATACCTAATCCAGCCATATCGGTGTTTTGTGGTTAACAGCTTGTAAACCCCCTCCCACTCTCTGTTTTTGTTACAAAATGGGGTTGATTTATGAAAACAGGTAAGTGCAAAATCTGGTGCAGCTCTATATGGTAGCCAATAAGCTTTTAACCTCAGCTTGTTCAATTACGTTTTGACAAAAAAAACCCCAAAAACTTGAAGCTGATTAGTTTATCTGCAGAACTGCACCAGATTTTGCACTCCCCAGTTTTAGTAAATCAACCCTATTGCATAATGTACTATGCATGTAACACGTGTCCTGTTTAATAATCTTGGTCTGTCATCCCTGGGCACAAACACTATCTGAATATCCACCCACACTGCTGTGTTCATCTGTCTTGATGGTACCTCGGTATGCACAACCAGAAAGCCATAAAAAAAAGTATTTTTTTTTCCATGTAATGAACCAAAATGTATTCTGGGACTACTTGCCTTGAATCAGCACTGTGGTTTTCCTGTATAGCACCTGTTCAGTTCACTTTAGCTCCACAAAGTGTTACTGTGCCATCTAAATTTACCACAACCCACCTTTTTACACCAAGCAAAATAACATAGATGAAGGTGACAAAATTTTTCTTTGGTTTTGGACAGAGTGGGTAAAGGTTACATATTCTGCATAGAACACATTTTTTCAAGATATTTGCAATGTTGTCAGTGACCCGAAAAAATGAAAATGCTCAACTCTTCCCGTTCTAGCTGATCCCTCTCATCTAGGCAGGCAGTATGGAGAAGTCTTCCTTGTGAAGCATTTTTCCATTTACTCCCTGTTCAGGACACAGGAAGCAATAAAAAGTTGAGGATGTGGTCTTAAATCACTGTTAGAGAAAAAAAAAACACACACACACACAGCGCTGTGGAATGGTGTTTGCCCCTTTCCTGTTTCTTATTTTTTGCATATTTTTCAAAATTAGATGATTCAGATCATCATACAATTTTTATTAAGAGAAAGAAGCTGTCCAAACCTGCCTGGCCCTATATGAAAAAGTAATTTCCCCCTTACTAAATCATGAATAAACTATGATTAACCACATTTTCTGGAAAGCTGAGTTAAATTTCACTTGCCACACCCAGGCCTGATCATGGCCAGAACTGTTGAATCAAGAACTCACTTAAATAGAAGCTGTCTGACAAACTGGAGCACGCTAAAAGATCTCAAAACACAACACATCATGTCACGATCTAAAGAAATTCACAAACAGATGAGAAACAAAACACTCCAAGAGCATAAAGATGCCTCATTCAGGAGGTCATAAAAGAACCCAGGATGACATCTAAGGAACTACAGGCCTCTTTTGCCTAAAGTCAGTGTTCATGGTTCGACAATAGAAAAAGAAAAAGAGACTGGGCAAAAATGGCATCCAGGGGAGCGTTCCAAGGCGAAAGCCACTGTTGACCAAAAAGAACACAAAGGCCTGTCTCACATTTGCCAAAAAACATTTTGATTATCTCCAAGACTTTTGGGCAAATATTCTATGGACTGATGAAACAAA